TCCCTTGTAAGACAATCATGCTAAGTTGGAAATCTTACTTATATCCTCGCTCTCATCGTGACTTCGATAAACGAAATGTTTTAGCCCAAATTTATGTTGGAAATGCTGAAATAATAGTGACACAAGTTCTGTTACACTTCTTCTTCCTCTAGAAAACTCCAAAAACTTCAATGAATTCTAATATATGATAGTCTGAGTAATGGACATAGGACTATCCATTGGCATCATTTCGACATTTATAAATATGGGTTACAATAAATATGAAGATAATTCTGTGGAGGCACTTCTACCTCCATTTATTCTTATTCTCTTCGAAGTCTTTCTCTCATTCTCATTTTTTATACTCTTAAGTTTCTTTACGGATTTCCGGAGATATTAGTACTAATACGAAAGAGTTTGGAAGTCTAGAATCTTCATTAAAGCAAGTTAAAATTTCACCAAAAACGAACTGAAAAAACTCGAAGATAAAAAAAAGATTTTTTATTTGTGACGTGTATGTATATATTCGAAAGCACAATCCTCCACATAATGTGAAGGTGAAAAAGAAATCTTTGAAAACTTTATAAAGATTTTTTCTTTAAGTGTAACAAAATTTATGTTACGACCTAATAAAATATTTAGATAAGAGTCTATGTAAGTGTTGCTGTATTTTTTACGTTTCTCCAAGCTCATCCCTTTTCGTCAACAAGATCATCCTTACTGATGTTTCCTGCATAGCCGACTTCACAATTACATGCTTTATTCTGCGCAATTTCGAATCACAGATGATACCGTATCAACAAGTAGTGATGCATTACCCATATTAGAAATTTCGCTCATACTGAATATTCCACATACTAAACTTCGGCAAGACCTTTTGTTAGAAAAAAAATGTTATTGATTCGTCTTATCCCTGTAGATCAATGATCCTCCAAACTTCACCGCATCACACATCGTCCTTGTCAAATCACATGCTTTTTGCTCTTCTACAGTGGTAAATTTGATGGCCTGCAGAGCGTCGCAAAATCTGAAATTGATGGTCACACACACAATTATGTTTTTTTACTAGGTGTCTCTATTCACTGTAGTCAAATAACATCACTTTACCAACCGGATACCGTTAGATGAATGTTATTTCGACACCGTTCACATCTGACACCAAAACAGAATAACAGTGATTAGCGCGAGTTCAAAAATCGTTAATACAAGGGCAAAAATGAAAAATCTGCTAGTGCATGGCTCATATAGAATAAAGTTAGTAGCGTATGTAGAACAGACCTTATGCTGCATTTTCATTAGGTTCCAAGTTCAAGAAGTTGTGAATGTTAATTTAATTGCGGAAGACCTCGGCTTTTGGATACATGTACCATGGGGACGCAAATTCCAAAAAGCTGATTTTTCAAAGCGAATATACCTTTTAATCCTGCAAGAATGATACACACTGACAAGCTTTAGTTCGTTGGAAATTACAAAAACTTGTGCTGCATTCGTGTTTTTGATTTTACAAGGTATGTAGTTATGAACCGTTGAAAAAAAAATGTTTTGGTCAAACTTCAAGTAGAATAAGAGAATATGAGAGCGTTCTAGCTTGTTCTTTTCTGCAGGTCTAGAAAATTTTCTAATAATATCCGAATGAGCAGGAATACATAAATGACTAGTAAACGACTCTGGCAATTTATATGAAAGCGTTCGAAGGTTTGGATTGCGCAATCATTCGAAAGAGATCAAAGAACATGAATGCATATTTGAATTTGTCTTGGTTTAGTTATCAAATCATATTATATGAGGACTCATAATCGCTGAGAAAACACTGCTGTGTAGTAGGTCGTTCCGAAATTAGTGTCGCTTTCTCAAATGGACGCCACATTTGGTGGAACAAAAATTTCTGACAATGAGAGATCTTGAGAGCATTCCATGCCGCATTTCACCCTCTACTTAAAATGAGCTCTTGGAAAATCACCAAAAACACAACCCATAGTTGTCACCGTGGTCAATCTTCGCTATATAGGGTGCCTAGAAAAAATGAACACTCTTCATTCGTAAATAACTTTCTTGCTTTTATGTCTTTTGCTGAGCTTTAGTAACATTCTTTAGAGCGAGGTTCAACTCAGATTTACAGTATGGAGCGAATCATCAATCGCTCTTCATTATTGTTGGGTTACGGTGTAAACTTTCAGCATACAGCGCCACTGTGGAACAGGCCTTTTGATGTAAAAAAAATTCCAAAAAACCCACATGTTTGCTAGCAAGGTTTTCAGGCGTGCCGAATTCACTAAATAACTTTTTAGCAGTTTTCGAGCTTTCTAATGATGTAATCATACTTCTGGCGAACATTAAAAAAAGTTTTCACTCTAAACCTGTAATAACTTATGAAAGAAGCATTACAGTAAAACGCAAGTTTCATATTTAGAATCAGTGACATCTCAGTCCAGTGTAAGAGTTTTAGATTTGTTTGGTTTTCCATCAGGCAAAAATCGCTTTCAATCTCCTAAAATCCTTCTCAAAGTTACTACCGTAATCTTACAGTAATGAAGAGCGACTGATGTTCGCTCCATACTATATTTAAGTTAGACTTCGCTCTACAGACGATACGGAGGAGACACTATGGATAGAGCGAACCCCACAGGATATAAAACAATATTTCCCTTCATAGCTTAATGTAAATTTTTGAAAAAATTTTCATCAAAATCACCGAACTCTAATAGGTCTATCTCGGACACAAACACGTCAAACGCCAATAACTCATCCAAGTTTGATACTTCCAGATGTGGATCATGCTTTAACACTAATTAAACAAAGCAAATGAGCGCTTACATACTCGAAAAATCGAATCTCAAATTTGCCGACCACAGCCGGGGGACTTTCAGAAACATAGATTTCATGATTGTAATACCTGCTTTGCGGGAATCAGTGCAAAAATTTAGAAAAATTGCGAAATTTGACCATCTAAAAGAGCACGGGTCGCAGATTTGATTTTTCAAGAGCCTGTCATATACTATGGATTGAATTTAAAATCGTTAGAAAGAGATTGAAATGCTGCATCAAATGCTCTCAAGATCCCTCAGAAATCTTGGTTCCATGAAATGTGGCGTTCTCTTGAAAAGAACGGCATTACTTTCGGAACGATTAATACTAGGTTGTTCCAAAAGTTCTTTACGTTTTATCGAACTAGCAAAAACATATAAAATAAAGCTGGGCAAAAATTAGAAACACTATTCGGCGCATTTTCTCCTTCTCTTTCCAGAGGTGTTGTTTTTGGTTATTTTCTTTTGCGGCTATCAAAATAATTGCGGAATACAAACCACGGTTCTTACCATTACCTTGCAGGATTATGGCATTTTTTTACAAATTTTTAATTTGAACTTTTGGTGGAGCCTTCAAGACAAGTGTTTAGAGCAAACAAAGTGCAAAGTAGAATTTGGGCATCTCTAGCTTGATTTCAGTATTTTTTGTGATGTCTAATATATAAGGAATCGTTAGCCCAATAAAAATTGCAAATAGGGGGAAACCGCGGCGGGTCCCGAAGTGAACGTTTTTCCAGGTAGCACCTTTAGATGGGCAGGGGAACGAACACCTCAGTTACCACCGCCTCCGCGGGCTGCTGGTCCTTTCGTCGTACTGTTGTGCATCGTGTTAGGACCAGTAGTTCGCGGAGGCGATGCCTAATTGGGGTGTTCGTTCCTCCATTCCTTTTAGATTGACTCGTTCATTAGTTTTCCCAAAAATATTCACTTTTGCAAAGTCGTGTCATCAGAAAGCATGAAACACCGAAAATTTTTTGGAACTTGGAAGTCTTGAAATCGATTGTCATTTGACGTCAATTATGCAAAGCAAATGAACGGTCATTTCGATATAACGAATAAAATCTTCGGTACAGCCATTTTCGCGAAATTTACACTCATGATTATTTTATCGGCGAAGGTTCAGAAAATCGGTATCAAAGACATCTATCGGAAAGAGGAGAAAAAGCTGCATCGAATAAGAGCAGAGTTGATTGATATCAGAAAAATAATCCAAATATTTTGAAAAGCCGCTGGAGATGTAAAGAATTCCTGTTGTACATTTTTGCTTCGTTCATCCGTCTGTCATCAAAATTCTTCCAAAAGTACAAAGTGAAAAATTTGAGAAAAAAACACACAAACCTGAGTATGGTAAAAAGTTCGAAGTTTCGCTGATTTTAGTAACGGCGGAGGAAAATAGCCCGAAAACATAAATGTAGAAAAGAGGGAAAGACCTGCATTTAATCATCTTTAAATTGTTTGCCCATCTTCATTCCATGTGTTTTCACGACAAGCAGGAAAAACGGAAAGAAGTTTCGGAACGACCTAATAATATTAGGTTGACGCCACGGAAAGCGCAAGATTCTCTTTCTATTGTACATACACTGCGAAGGTATCATCAAAGTTGGAGAAAGTAAAAGAAAGAAAGTAAACGGATTTTTAAGAAATTTGATGACAGACGGATGAACGAAGCAAAAATGTACAACAGGAATTCTTTACATCTCCAGCGGCTTTTCAAAATATTTGGATTATTTTTCTGATATCAATCAACTCTGCTCTTATTCGATGCAGCTTTTTCTCCTCTTTCCGATAGATGTCTTTGATACCGATTTTCTGAACCTTCGCCGATAAAATAATCATGAGTGTAAATTTCGCGAAAATGGCTGTACCGAAGATTTTATTCGTTATATCGAAATGACCGTTCATTTGCTTTGCATAATTGACGTCAAATGACAATCGATTTCAAGACTTCCAAGTTCCAAAAAATTTTCGGTGTTTCGGCAGTTATACGCTTTAACTAACCTTGGTGACCGGATCGGACTTCTTTATGGATTCGACAGCATCGCTGAACCAAGCAAGAAGATCAAAGGTCTGAAAAAACAAGGAGTACAGAGATCAATAACTGACATCCGCCTTTGTTTGGTCTTTCTCATTCGTCTGCTTTTAGCTAATTACAGCTTTCGTTTCCAAGCCTTTTAACTCGGGGTACCCAGGTTCTACATGAGAAACAAAGTTCTTACAGTGCATTCCTTGGTCTGTAGTAGAATGACGATGCAGGTGGCATAGAACACTCGCATGGCGGCAGCGATCACTGGGAGTGAGTCAATGTGCACACTGAAACTCGCCTCTTGTTTGTCAAGGTTCGGGTTTTATTCACTATGTCATAGTCTACTCAATCCCTCAATTTGAGTGATTTATTTACTAATGTTATAATCTATAACTGTTTACACATAATCAGTCTTGATTTCTTTATTATTGAGAAAAGCATGGCAATGATAACCGTTGTTATTGAAGACGCTGCACCCAAATTGAAAAGGTTGAGATTCTAAATTATACAATAGCGGGGCCTCCCAGTTAAGTGGTAAAAGGTGAACTCCAAGCGAGAAAATTGCTCTAGAAGATAATATACAACTAAATTTTGGTCCATAGGTCTACCACCGGAAGATATGGAAAGTTCATTTTACGTTTAAAAAAATGATTCAGTTCTCATATTATCTTATTCGTAACATACAACAACTGCTTTACTCACTACTCTACGCATTTGAGAGACCTATGGACTAAGATCTTAATTAGAAAAAATTATTTGGAAGAAATTCTCGTTAAATTTAGCCTATAAAGAGAAATTGATGGACTTTTTAGCGCTGCATGAAGCAAAATCATTGCTGAAATATTACAGGTTGACAAAAAGAGATACTCAGATCGTATTTGTGAAGGTTTCACTCGTTCAAAGCATTGAAGAGCCCAACAGGTCAGATACTTTTGAACACAGTCATACGACCTAATCTTTTTCGCTGAGAGCAATTGTCTTGGTGGAGGATATGCTGAGGAATACTTAGGATTTTGAAATTCTGTCTTAGAAAATATTTCGATCTTCGAGAGGGTATTCCCGGCAGACTTCTATGACTCTCGAAACCGTCTGAATGTGGTTCAGGCAACTGTATCCCTTGTGAAATCCTTGTTCTTCATTCAGTGTCCTAGATATGCGAGCGAGGATAATCTTTGTGAAAAGCTTGTACAGCACACTCAGCAGGCATATTGGACGGTAGGTCCGCAGATCCTCCCGTTTGCCGTTCTTGAAGAGAGGGACGGTTCTTGATGTTCTCCACTGGTCGGAAATCTTCTCCTTCTGAAGGTTAAGATGTCAAATGTGACGCTAGAACCTCGTGTAGACGGTGTCCTCGCAGAAGTTCGACGGAAAGGTGATCTGGTCCTGGAGCCGTGGACGTCTTCATGGTCTGAATCGCCGTGCGCACTTTAGCAGGTAGAATTCATGGTGGTACTTCTTCAGTGGGAACAAAGGGCAACTGCACGGGTGTTGATGAGCGGAAGAGATTGATGTAAAAGTTTCGCGATAGATTTCATCTTATATAGGGAAGAAGTCAGAGTCCCATCTTTGTTTAATAGTGCGGCCAGTGAATAGTCACAGACGTCCCTTCGGCACTTCCTTAGACTTCGCCTTCCTTCGGCTGCTTCCAGTATCCTTTCTTGCTTTGCCTGTAGTTCCTGAGATCCTCCTGCAAAGCTACTGCAACTGGCGTTGGCTATCAGTCGCTCGGGATGGAATGCATTCGGATCCTGCCTCAAAAATCTTCCTCTGTCGAGCAATTCCTTGGTGGTCTTCGAAATGCGTTCCAAGTTCTTCTCAGAAGTCACTGAGGCGCACTCTCCGCAGGCTTGCAATCCTTTCAAAAGCCGGTCGTAGTCTTACGTTGGGATCTCCTCGATGGGCCAGTCACAACCTGATATGCGCTCTTCTAACCTGCTACCGTCATAAACGACTTCTTTGCTTCTTGCGGCGCTGTGGCAGACTTTCTTTTCCAGCTTTCGACTGAATCGTATCTTCGCTCGAAGGAGGCGGCGATCGGAGCCACTGCAGAAGGATGGAACTACTGAGACTTCAAACAAGCTCCACCTTCAGTTGGTGAGAATGTGATCGATCTCCGCATGAGTCGTTCCGTTGCGACTCCCAAGTCCAACGGCGATGTTCTTTCTTCATGAAGATGGATTTTCCATGAAAAAGTCGTGCAGCGGAGAGAAACCCAACGAGACGGCTGCCGTTTTCAATTCGAAGCCCATATCCAAACTTCTCGATCCTATATTCCTTTTTAGTGGCATCCCGATCTCGCGTTGAAGTCGCCCACAACGAACTTGTAGAAGGACTTTTCGTTGACCTGTTCAACGTCTTTTCAGAAAGCATCTAATTCTGAATCGTCAGCTGCTGATGTCGGTGAATAGCAGTTGATGATGCTGATGGTCTTGTGACGTGGAGGTCTTACAAGGAAAGGAAGGTTGGTCGAAGTGGTCTTTTGAAATTAGGTGTATACTGCCTTGAAGAGCTTGGAACGCTGATTCCAAATCTACCTTTGCTATCTGCTGCGGGCTTCTGGGCGAGGAGTTTTGAAGGTTTTTGTGAGTAAAAATCTGAATGCAAGAGTAGCCTAAAACCAGTCCTAACATTTTTTATTGGGTTTAATTGGTAGTCGGGTCACTCGGTGCAAATATTTTTGATTCAAACATACCAATTCGCTGCTGCCTCATTTGAACATTGGGAAAAGGTTACGACTGATTTTACCCTATTTTTGCATTCAGATTTTTACTCACAAAAACGTTCATAACTCCTCGCCCAGAAGCCCGCAGCAGATAGCAAAGTAGATTTGGAATCAGCGTTCCAAGCTCTATAAGGCAGTATACACCTCATTTCAAAAGGCCACTTCGACCAACCTTCCTCCCCTTGTTAGTTGGAGGATGGCTAGTCGGGGTGACAGGATCTCATGCGAATCGACAAGATGGACGATAGATGGGTGGACGACAAACCAACGCCTCCAACGTTTCGTGATGGAACCTTTTCACCCCGAATGATGAGGGTCTCATTACTCATCTGTCGCACGTCCTTGTTCCTGGACTTCGTTTCCTGCAGAGCGATAATGTGGTACTTGATGTGCTCTGCAGCGTCGAGAAGAGCGTGGAGGTCGGCGTCTGTGGAGACTGTCCTGGCGTTGTAGGTGCAAAGCATGAGGCAGTCTCCATGGCGTGTCGTTCGGGCAGACGTGTCGTTTTTGTCCGAAAGGCGCTCTGAATACCCTGACATCGTTCTAGCTACCACCCGGCGCCGTAGGCGGAAGCGAATGTGCAGGGTTTATTTCTCTTCCCTTTGCTGAACGAGTAATAAAAAATTTTTACCCTACAAGAGCAGGCTTACTACGCCAACTCTTGATTTCCACGGGGCAATCGCTGACCCGGATGTGGAGCGGGGAGGTACCGCCTAGCGACCAGAGAAAGTTAGACGGCGGGAGATCTGGCCTGGCCGGCTCTTAGCTAGGCACCCGGCCGAAACCGGAAACGTCGAACTCCTTCACAACTTGGGAGGCCTTACCCTTACAGGAGTATGCACTCGGCTGTTCATCGCAGTCCGACACCCAGTGTCACCCCCACGCCACGATGAGCGGCCGACCATTGTAAAGGATTTTCATGTTTGCTAAAAAAATCTTGCTGTTCGCTCCTTAAGCAGTTGTGTAATATCTACTCCATGACGAAGGCGGTCACTCAGATAGGTTAAAAACAAACAGGGTTAACGCACATCCTGCGCGCGAGCGTGTCAATCATGGGGCACGCACACGGTCGGTCAGCGGTCATCCACGCGCACCATGGCTGACAATTGTCCGTACGCCACGTGCGCGTCAGCCTTGCATGTTTTCAACCTATTAGGCGACCGCCTTCGTCATGGAGCAGACATTAAAACCTTTTTCGGCTTTCTACCAGCCCTAATCTTCGAGAAACTCTAGAATTCTCGAGAACTAGTGCTTCGGAAAGCTGTAATTTACGATTATACTTAGAGTTGTAGTATATAAGTAATTATGTGGAAACAGTTAGCTTCAGTTTTGTAAAAGTATGAAAATTTTCGTTTTCTCAATTTCTGGCCAAGGGAGAAATATAGAAATGGGACCTACGAGAACCAATGCGAATGTATATGGGTGATTGATTATTCAGTAGAACTTTTTCGAAGATATAGATTTTTCTGGAGCACGCAGACTTCTCAGAGTTTAGCTTCAAGCGGTGGATTCAACGGTGCGAACTTTTACCCTATCTTGTAGAGCTTGCTTTGTTCTATCGAAGGATTCCCTGAAGCCCTTTTGGAAAAAGAACTGTATGGCTTACGCGGCAAAAAGTCGAATTGTAGCAAGACCATGTAACAACCCAATAATTCATGTATAAGTTTTAGCAAAATTAAGAATCTTCATTGCTCACCGTACCTACCGCAAGCTCACTAAAGACGCCTCATCTACCTCTTTGAGCTGTACTAACTACCCTGCTGCAATTTCCAGTATAGCAGCGTTGAGAAACCGTATTCATATGATTAAATTTGCCGGAAGGGGAAAAAGTAGTCAGAAAAAATCAACCTTTCCAAGTCATAACATTTAATACTCCTTGTTGATCCAGATTGTATCCGTCATTTTCAGATAGTGGATTGGGTGGTGCTGCCGAAAATTCATTTCTTGCTGCAAAGATACCGGTCGCGATTGGTAAGATTTTGTGCTGTGTAATAGCAAGGCCCCCTACCGAAGCGATAGCCCAAATCCCGCTGCAAAAGGTGAATACCAAAACGAGAAAAACGCTCCAGAAAGAAGAAGCTGCGAAAGCGGCACCACCCATCAACGTGGATGTTCCGAAAGTCATAACTCCAAAACTGCGCTTGGGTTATGTCGCAGATCTGTTAATCATACAAAAAATGACCTATGAAATGTTTGATTTTGCAATCATCATAGACTACTCACGCTAATGGGCGGTGCCTAGACAGCTAGTACATTCTGAAGGGATTTTCTCGTTTCTAAATTCATCTTTTGCAGAGGAACTTCAACAATTACTTAGTTAAGGGCTGCGCTACTTGCAGCAGGATAAAACTCTCCGACCTTTGAGTGGACGGTGCCTTTGAGTGTTTTCTTCCCATAGATCACCTCAACGCCAAAACAAGTCGAAGTAAGTTACGTAAAATACGCCTAATGTAGGATCTACAAGATTTTGCTAAAGAACGATATAAAATTTGGATAATGGCTCTATGTCAGAAATGTTAGCAGGGTTAGGCACTACCCCAAAAGGTCAGGATGTCTAATTTTTGTAGCCTTGCGTCTGATCCACTCAACTACTTTTAGTCCTCCATTTTTGACGTGATAGTTTGACTCAAAATTCTTGCCATTCTGATGTAAGAAATGGGATGCTAGACTTTTACTTGATAAAATCATGTCTTGAAAAGCTACATCTGAAATTCACCGTCAAGTTACCGCTATGCTGCATAGTCGTGTGTAAGCGCAGAGAATTATGCTCCATGGTGCCTAATTCTCTCCGAAATGCTAGCTGGACAAGCTTGGCAAGAATAAACATTTCAGTGGAGACCAGTGAGCACTAGAGTGGCAATTGTGCCCCTGGGAAAAGAAAAACATTATGATTCTACGTTTTTCCTTCTGAGCCCAGCTACACTGTTCATCTAACCCGCTTCTATTTAAGATCAGAGTGTTTTTGTTGCTATTCTAGGTCTCATAATGAAGAAGAGAGGGAAGTTCTGAAACTTAGCTCCTATTATACAGGGTGTCCCAAAAGTTACACTGTTTGATCGTTAATATCTCTCTTCCCAGGGAGTCTTTCACCTACCTTAAGGTACCATTTTGTAGAGCTGGCTTCAATTTAGACTTACAGTATAAAGCGAACCACTGATCGCTCTTCGGTACTGCAGGATTACAGTGTGAACTTTTGGCTTACAGCATTATTGTGGATTAGTGTTTCAAAAAAAGTTTCCAAAAATTCTGAAAAGTGGTGTATCTGAGTTTTTACGTGCGCTGATTCTATTACTCAACTTTTTAGGAGTTTGTAAAGCTTTTAAAAGGATGTGGCTGCTATTTTAGGGTGCATAGTAAGCTATCACGGTTTACGGGCCATAAGTTATAAAGGAAGCATCGCAGTCAAATGCAAAGTTCATATTTGGTTTGAGTAACTTCAATTAACTTAGTGTAAGAGTTTACAGATTATTTGGTTTACTTTCTAAGGAGGAATAGGACCCTCAATGGCTCAAAACCCCTCTTGAAGTTCCTGCCGTAATCCTACAGTAGTGAATAAAGATAATTTTTTCGCTCCATACTACAAAAATCTGAGTTGAAGTCTGCTTTACAAAATGGTACTTGAAGGCAGGCAAAAGACTTCTAAGGAATGGAGATAGTAATGATCAGACATTGTATACATACTTTTGGGACACCCTGTATATTAGGTTAGTTCAAAAACCAAAGAAAAAGAAGCTCTTTATAACAAGCCGCTGTTTTGAGCACTAACATCATTCTGCTGATCGTATGCACATGATCAAAGTCTCAATAATTTGTATGAGGCCTTCTCAGGGACGAATCTGCCACTAACGAAAGTACTTTTTTCTTATTCTGCTTATTCGTCTATTTTAGATGTTACATATCAAATTATGTGCGAGAGTTTCAACGGTATGGAAGCAAAGCTGAGTGCACTTCTGCGTTACGTAGTTATTGTGCTAACTTTTCCAATTATGTAGTGGTTTATATTATGGCGCACTACTCTTGAGTAGTGTAGTAAGTAAATTAAATATACTAAATTTCATTGAGATTCTTTATTTTTGTGTTTGTAAGCAGAAGCCATTTGCATTACAGCCGTATAGTGAAACGTATCAGTATGGGTAAACTCGAGACTCAAAAGCGAATAAAAAACTCAAAAATCGCATTTTCAAGTAGGGTTATAAAAAACACTCGAAGTAACATTGTTTGAGAGAAAGTTTTGCGCATTGCAGTGGTACCTTTGCCGTGAATTGATATGAGATTATGCGAGGGCTACAAGCAAATAAAAACAATTTCGAAAAATTGCATCTTCAAGGTCACAAGAATACTGAAATTTCACGGGAAGAAACCTAAAGGACAATAAATATTGCCACAAAGTGGTTTCTTGTTAGAAACCATAAGCTCAACTTTTTTCACACTTGAAAGTGCAGTCTTGAGTAGTTTCATTCATTTGCTGACTCTTAAATTCTCTCGTATCGGCTCACAATGAAGGTATAGCTATAAAGAACATGATTTCTGCTTTCGAATGAAAATAAATATCATTAAGATGGGAGTTTCAATTTTTTCGAAAAAAACAAGACAAGATTTTGGATTAGACTATTAGTTAGCGCTAAGTATAGTTGAGATTTTTTTGTAAGAATCAGCGAAAATTCATCTGAACTATATGGTACACTAGTTGGCAAGCCCGGCTCCCCCGGCCCTGTCAATACTATATTCGTAATCAGCATGCTCACTTACACCCCTGTGCCAACTCCCAGCCCCGTAGCTCGAACTTTTTGAAAAATCGATAAAATCGATATCGATCGATGACGAAAAGTAGCCTACGACACCCGCCGGGGCCCGAAGTGTATGTGTGTCAAGTTTGGTCCGGATCGGTTCAGAAATGGAATTTTCTATTTGGAGCATACGTACATACATACATACCAGTGGCGTACCGAGGGGGGAGGGCGGGGGGGGGGGCCCCCCCCCCCGAGAATGGGTCGCGAAATTTTTGAAATTTACTCAAATGTGTTATAAAAATGTGCAGAGGACTTGTATTTACTTGTAAATAATTAGAATAATTTTTAAAAATTTTTAAAAATTCAAATTAGCTTCGTAAAAAAATTTTTTTCGGGGGTGTGGCTGCCGCCACGCCCCCTTTTTCTGGAATTTTGGGGTCAGGGGTCCGGAAAAATTTTGGGAAACATCCCAAAAAATTTTCGGAGTGTGGCTAGCACCTTCATTGAAAAATTTTTTCGTCGCCCCCCCCCCCCCCCCGAGCCGAAATCCTGGGTACGCCACTGATACATACATACATACAGACAGACAGAAAGACAAACAGACATTCAGCTTTATATATAAGATACTAGTACATACCAACTTTTCTAGAAATACTTGCTTCGCTCTTCATTCACACGAATTTTTTGTATTTCTGCACTCTCACGTATGAAAATGATTCCTCGTTTCCGCTAGTCATTTCTCCAATTCTGATAAAAAAATCTTAGGATCAAGTTTGCCAAGCCCGTCCCGTCAGGTACTGGTTTCCTCGCAATCTTGCTTGAATCTTTCGCATTAACACACATGTTCATGGTGTGTTTTGATAGAGCACCGAAAGATTTATAGTCCAATGCTGCAGGGATACAAGGGAGCAAATCGACCAAGGGCTGCAGAATGACTTCTTGCATAAGAAACTTGCCTGTAACTGGTATAATTCCCTTTTCCCATGGTTCTTTCTTTTCATTACAAAGAGTTAAGCTTGGAAAAATTTTCAAATTTTTTCAGGATTAAGAAGTTAGTAGCAAGACTTCTTACGCTTTTCATGAAATCCCAAAAGGCTCGTATTACTTCCAGTGTCTTCAAAATTCTCTTTGCCGTCCAATCATTCAACGGCACGGTTGACATTGTCTCCTAACCAATATCCCCTTTTTTTCGCTTGCCAATTGCATGGCTCTGCAATCACAGAATGAGTGACTGTCAGATTGCACATGCATTTTCGATGCTCACAACCTCAAATTATTGCAACGAAAACAACGCTTATGTTGATCTCAAACATCTATTTTTGAAATTTGGTCTGACATTTTCTAATAGCATTTGCTGCCGAGATCCTTCCTCTTGAAATAAAATTATGGGTCCCAAAAGCGCTCATCTCCCGTATAGTTTCTTTGCCAAAAATTCTGCAATATTTCGGCGACGATGCAAATTTGCCCAATCTCAGCACAGATTAGTATTTTGCATGCCTTGCATTGGACATCACAGTGTAATTTGAGCTTGGAAGATGTGCCAAAAATGTAAAACTGAAAAAGAAATCTTTTATGCCGCCGCGCATCGGTGGTTGGCTGGGCGTAATGTTCGGTTGGAACATTAGTTTTGCATCAAAAATTCCGAAAAATGCTCAAACCAGCGTTTCAAGCTGTATAGTATTTTTCCGTTGTATATGCAGTTTTATCGTATACACGAGAGATTTTATTACGAACCACATCGGAACTTGAAAATAAAAATTTGAAAACTACAACTTCTGTAGAGACTCCCTAACGCCACAAGTTATTTCTCGTTGAACTGCGTAGATTAAAAAACCTGAACAATAAGTGAGATTAAGAGTTTCTGGAACTTTCAGCATTTTTGGGATTAAAAGTTGGAAAAACGCAATTTGGGTGTTTGCCTTCAGAAATTTCTGTCGCTATATAGCAGAAATGTTTCTCGCTTTGAGGAATGCTTAGGAAGAGTAAATTTCTGTCTAAGTTATATAATCTCAAACGGATTCATTGAATCTAGAGCGGATTACGGGATTTGCAAAATTTTGGTGCAAGACTCATGTTCCAACCCTGTATTAGTGATGCAGGTTGCTTCATAACCCTTTCATTGCATTTTTCTAAAACTTTTGTCCGCACCAATTCGTTTCTCTGCATTGCTCCCAGCTTCATGCTATCATGGCTAGCTTGATGCTGTTATTGTCCCTGAACAAATAACGAAAAAATCAACCTTGTACGGTGTAATCGCAGATCTGCTCAGTGTTCGATTCGGATGTAGTGCTGTTCGAGGCCCCGTCCATCTGCTGATGATTATGTTAGTGTGCTGGTGGTGTTGGCTGGCTCACAAAGAGGTCTTTCAGGACGTGCATTCCATCCAATTGATTTTTGAATGCCGGAGGGTGGTGGGAAGCGGCAAACTTTATCGTTCCCGCTCTGCCATCTGCTTTTTTAATTGCTTAATAGGCTTGGTAGTCCATAGCTTCTGCTGTGATAAATTTCCCTCTAACTATGTCATGAACCTCCCTTTACTGAGGTGTGCAGATTACGCTTGTTAAAGTTCTGTTAAATCGGAACCCGTCTTTCTTCCTCTCCATGTGCATCTCCACAATCAGCTCACGCTCCGATTGAGAAGGCACTTTTTAGATATAAATTTAATTTCGGTAGGAGTGAACTCATCAATCCATTT